TAGTGTTAAGTTTTTTTTATTTATAATAACTTTATTTAATCTTCTTACACAATTTTTATCATCTTCCACAATTGATAGTTGTACAACGTGATGTTATAAAAAATTAAATTATATTTAATCTTTATTTTAAAGTTTAGTTTATAATTAGTACTGCATTTATTTATATTTCTTGGAGTATTTATCTTGCATTATTCATTCTTACTTATTCTGCCAAATTCGTCTGAAGCGTTTGAGTTTTAATTAAAGTTTTTATAATAAATTCTTAGAGAGATTTCGAAAAGTAGTGAACTATAACAACAAAAATTCTTTTTATATTATTTTATTTAATTAAATTTTTGATTGACCATACAGCTGTTTCGAGTATAACAAAAATCCATCATTAGTGGTCTTGGAATTATTTCTTATATTTAATTATTCGTAAATAATTTTTTGGGACTGCAAGTACCAAAGGATAAACTTGTGCCCTACCAGATTTAAAGCTCAGAGTTAGCGTTTATTAGCCAACTGATCCAAAGCCGCACTTGACTTGTATATTCGCACTTTTTTCTCAATTCATAGTATTATTATGGTTATGAATCAAAAGTAATATTTAAAGGCATATAGACATGTGAAAAAATCTTTAATAATTAAAATTAAAATTTTTAATAATTAAAATTGGATTATTATTACGCTTTTCTTATTGAATTTAGTTTTATAATGATTAAAATATATATATTTTTAATATATAAACATATTAAAAATATATATGTTTAAAATTTTCAAATATAGATAGGTACGATTATATATATAGGTACGATTATTTCTTTAGAATAATAATTAATCCAAAATGTGTTTCTTTAATTTGAGTTATGTTCTTTAATGGGAAATGGTTGCTCTCAGCAGTGAAATATGAACTTAAAAATATCTGTTTATTTCTTTGTGAACATCAAACCACAACGTAGCGCTGATAGGAAAAAGTTTTTCTTGCTAATGAGGCATATTAAATCTAACAAATAGGTATTCTGTCAGGGACGTATTAAGAGACATTTTAAGGAGGGTTTTTGAAAAATAATTTACAATTTATATAAAAAACTTCATTATAACTAGAGTGGGGTGAACCAAAATATTTAAGTGTGGTTTTAACTACAAAATACCCCTTGTATATGCCACTGTACACTATAAAAAAGATTTTAAAATTAATTAAAATTGCTATAAATCTTTAAATGAGATAATAATATTATTGTTTTAACTAATACTCTTACAAGTTAATTTTTGATGCTTTATCATCTTTTTAAAAACAAAAATAAATATTAAAATATAATAAATTGGAAAGATGTAGTATACAATGTAGTGTTTTTTACTTTCCTATTAATAATTAGTGTTTTATTTTCACCAAAAAACGGTACACCTAATACAATTTTTAACATTTTCAATAGTCTTAGATTGCAATCGAGATAATTATTATAATTAATTAGTGTATATAAGTATGTACTAAGACGCTTATTTTCTTTGAAATTATTTTGTGTATTTTTTCGGTGAAGTTTAATAAATAATTAATGATTTTCTTTTATTTTGAATTAAAGTTGGTATGCCAATACTTGGTTTTCATCTGTATGGAGCATCATATAAACGTGGTTTCTTCTGTGATGACGAAGCACTCAAGCATCCCTACAAGGCTTCAACAGTACGCAGTTGGATGCTCTATTTGATGGGTTTTGTGGTACCAATAGCAATTGTAAGTAAAATTATATACTATATATACGAGAATACAATGTATTCTCGAATGACTTGCAAAATTTTTTGATAATTCAAATATTTACAATGAAATTCAACAAAAATGAAACAAAAAAATCTGTGGGCGGAAACATATAAACAAAATTCTAATAAAATCAAAGTTCATTTGAATTTATTGAACTAATAATTGAAAAGAAATTGGAATTTATTTATTCCAATTTTTAATATGTATTTACAAATAATTTCTTAGCAGTAAGTTATTTGTTTCAATAACACACGAAAACATTATTTTGTTATTTAAATGTAAAATTATTTACTTATTTATTTATTGGCATGCATAAATGCTTAATACTTAAGCTTTTAATATTGGCTTCCTGTGTGAATTGATCTTGTCATAAATGTTGCAACAAGACGATACTGAAGATGATGTTAAAAATTCTCCTTCAACATGTAACTAACTCATCATTCGAATCGCATACTCAAAGTTTTGGAAAAAGTAATATTTTTGGAATCGTGCAATTTTAAATGCTTAATTTTGAAATTGTTTTTAGTATTTTTTTTCACACACAAAAATCGTGCTTAGTTACACTTGTGTTGGCCCATGCTGTGCAACTGTAGTTTCCCAAAATTTATGATGTATGAACATACTTAGACTGCATCAGGCACAGATACTCGTACAGCATCATTTTTTATTCAGCGTTATATTAGGTAAATTAGGTTGCATGTAAATTTCGAGTTACATGCAGTTTGTGGGAAAGTCCAACTGTGAATGTTGCCATTTTTTCTATTAAAAAGCAAAGAAATCCAGGTGACCCTAGTTACCAAGACGTGATTATTTATTTTTTCTTTTTTAAATAAGAAATTAGAAATAAATTTTAGGAAACATTTAAATAAAACGTGCAAATTTATTTCAGTGAGAAAATTTTTTTATTGTCGTTTAAGATCACGGCTATTGAATTCTTTAAGTCACACAGTCAACGTATGCGCGGATTCGGCCACCTTTCTGGCGAACGTTACATTTTCTATCATCTTGAAATACCAGATTGGTGCGTGGAATGCTATAAAAAGATCGGAGTTCTAATATTTGGAGCTGGCGTATGTGAATTGACTGTAGAAATTGCTAAATATTCCATTGGTCGTTTAAGACCACACTTTTTTGAGGTAAATATTTTTTATTTATATTGTATATCACACAAAATATATAAATTCTTGTATAGATTAATATATGCTCACTATTTATATGAAATGGTTATGTTTGCTCAACACTTTTTTCAATATTAATTTTCCATAATTAAATATTCATCTATCTATTTTTTAATATATCTATTTAAGTCATGAATATATTCTAAATTTACTTACATTGTGGCTAAGCACACATGTGCCCGATTGCGAAAAACTTCTGAAGGTCCATTCTTACGTTTTTATTACCAAAGAAATAAAAAATTTGGTAAATTAAAAAACAAAATTTCACACTGAGATTCATAAATACTGTAGCTTTTATTTAGTTAATAAATATTTGTACACCTAGAATCTTTAAAAAGTATCGCCTTAATTCTATAAGGCTTTGTTTCATATGAATTTTAAAAACAAAATGCTAAATATTAAATTTTAAATAAACTAATTTTAAAATATTGTTTTTAAAAAATTATCTTCTCTTTTGCTTCAAATAATTGAAATGTACAAGTAACGTCAACTATTTAACTTGAAAGAAGATTTTTTATTATTTTTTGGGCAATCAATCAAAGCCATTTACGAACAGATGTTCGTATCTACATATGAATATAAAAAGGTTTTAAAATTTTTTATTAAATTAATTTGTTATTTCAAAGATGAATCTATGTACTCACAATTACTAATTACATTTTAATTAGAACAGCAATGCATATATAGATGTTGCTTTGTACAATTGAGCATTTCATACTAAAATGCATATGTATCTTTAGCCAGAACAAATATTTCTTGCTAACCATACAAATTCCATGCAGTGCTGTGCTTAATTATGAATAAAATCTTTAAATGATTTAAAATCAGATATAAATAGCGGAATGCTTTGTAGTCTACAGACTATGAGAAATACAAAGAATTATAGAAATAGTGGCCTTGTATGAACATATTAGTTGCAAGACTTAGTTATACGATATCGAAGATTATTTTCTTCTGTATCTGGAATACAAAATTAATTATTATAGCATGTACAATATTTTGAAGGTTTGTCAGCCGATTATGAATGATGGCACTACATGTGATGACGCTATTAATGCTGGGCGGTATATCGAAGATTTCACCTGCCGTGGAGTAGATATGTCTGCGAAGATGATAAAAGAAGTAGGTTTGTCTTTCCCCAGTGGTCACGCAAATTTTGCATTTTATACGATGTTGTACATAATGGTGCGTAAAGAAAACTATCTGAATGTGCATATAAAAGAGAAACGATGTTTTCGCTTACTTTAATATATAAAAATTTGTTTAATTATGATTTGTGTATGGTAGATTTATTTGCAAAAGCGCATGACATGGAGTCGTTTCAAAATGTTTAAGCATTTACTGCAGTTTCTATTCCTAATGTTTGCTTGGTATGCATCATTAACACGTGTTTCCGATTATCAACATCATTGGAGCGATGTCTTAGCAGGATCTGCTATTGGCACATTCTATGCGGTTATAGTGGTGCGTGTCCATCTAAAAAATAAATACTTTTTATTCTTTTATACATAATTATTGCATATAGATGTATTTTTAAAAAAATTACTGGTTTTATTTGTTTTTACTATGTTTTTCTTTCTGCTCTTTTACAGACTTCTTCAATGTGGTAACATGAACTCAGTTTTAAAAAATTTTACCGGGACGATTCAATCCAAAATATAAAACTTCTGTACAATTGTTTATAGTTTCCTTAATTTATTTTAAAATATACATATTTTGTTTTATATATAGTGAATGTTTTGAATATTTAATGATAAACAAAAACAATAACCATTAATATTTTAAGTATAAGAATTTAAATTATTTTTTAAAAAGTATTTTTATTGCAATATTTTTAAGAAACTTTTGGTAATAAGTTCTAGATATTAAAATTAATTTTAATAAAAAACACAATAATAAAGTTTGATTTTTTATTAAGTTCTTTATCCAAATATTTATCAATTGCAATATTACCAAGTACAGAGAGATGAACCTATAGCAGAAAACGGAGTGCATGTGCATTCAGTGTATATCTCTAAACAAAAATGCAGTTAATTAGAAACTTTATTCCAATCACTTACTCATTTTAACAATATATCTTCGACGTTCAGTATTCGTAAAAAACCTTAAATATATATAAACTAGTAGATGACCCGGCGAACTCTGTTCCGCCTTAAAGGCAATAAATAAGCAGTTTTTTTTTTAATTGGAAAAAATACAAAAAAAAAAAATACCAACATTAATCATTCATAATTTATTTGTGTATTTTAGTACATAGGTTGCTCTTCATTTAAGTACCTTGTGATACACGACATTTTTTGATTTATTATCAGGCGCAAAAACAAACAACGCAGATGGTCTTCCGACCCGTGAACATGCCACGTATAATTGACGATAATGGTTTTCAAAGCTTTTTCATGGGTATCTTGCCAGACATATCGCCTCTAAATGCAAAACGCAAAAGATTCTTAAAAATGAAAATTTTGGAATTAATCAATGAATTAAATGAAGAACAGGAATCTGAAGAACATTTTATTTCATATGAAAGTGAAGAATCATTGTAATTTATGGAAATTGAATGCAAGGAATACAAACATGAGTAGGAGTAGGAGTTATCTTCTGCTTACTGATTAAATATATAAGCATTAAAATTACTTATATTTATAGCTTATGCGTGTGATATTGTTCTTACTTATATTTATTATTGCATTAATAATAAGTGCAATAAATACAAAGTAAATATTTTTACTAATTATTATAACAGTAATTAGTACAACATTAAGTATTAATTTATGTATTATTCTTTCAAATTAAAGTATTACAATATATATATGAACTTCCAAAGAACTCAATCTTCCCAAAGAAATAAATAGTTCTAACTAAGTTATATTTCTATCTGTTAAATTTTAATAAAATATTTTCTTATATCAAAAATTTGATAATTTCAAAACCTACTTTGTCGTGAACGGGATAAACAGGTATCCTATGTCCTTCTCCTGGCCTTAAACTACCTCCCTGCCAATTTTCAGCTAAATCGGTTCAGCCTATATCCTTCTCCTGGCCTTAAACTACCTCCCTGCCAATTTTCAGCTAAATCGGTTCAGCCGTTCTTGAGTTATAAGTGGTGTAACAAAAACACATCTTTCTTTTATATATATAGATATATATATCAATATGAAAGAAGAGAGATAACTGTTTAAGCCTACTTCTAGACACATTGGTTTCAAGGTTGTGTGTTCTGTTGCAATGAATACGAAAGATTGTATTCATATAACCAGATAAGTTCAGGACGTAACTAAAATGTGATATATGTTGGCAAAAGAATTATTGCTTATGACAGACAAATATTTTTTTTAACGACAGAATTGCACTCTCAAAGAGAACGTTGGAAGAATGCGGAACATTTGTCCCATTGCAATAATTGTTGATATATTCCTCAATCGGCGTCATCGATTAAGTTATTAAACTCATTAATGCAACATTGAGATATCCGTTTCGGTATTATGCAAGAAAAAATTACTTGGACAGTGCAACTGAAATTATAACCTGATCGTTATAGTGATTTATATCGCAAAACTGAACGAACATACTAATGCTACTGCAACACAATACATCGTAATATTGTTAAGGTAAGTATGAAATAGTTTTTATTTCTAACTATCCCAAGAACAAGTAGCAAATTTTTTTAGTACATTAATCCCATTTACTACTTATCTATCAAAAATTGTGGGGAATGCATATCCCAAAAAAATGAAATACTTTGTTAGTTATTTAACATAAATACATAATAATTAACTTAGAACTGGGAAGCTTTATTCTAACAGAATAGTTTTCTATGAATAAAAGATCAAAACGATAGATTTTAAAGTTTGAAACACTACTAGGTTAAGTTAGGTTATATCGGCGATCCAATGGAGATTTTCTTAGGCATATTGGCCCATTGTACTACAGCTGTATAATAGAAAAATGCAAGGTTTAATACCACCTGAAACGTTGACGAAGCTTAAAATGCTATTTAGTGGCAGACCTTGTAGTTGATCAAGATCTTTAAAGAAGGTGCCATTAAAGTACTGAGTCGCCGCTGTGCATGAGTAGAACAAAAACAAAGCAGATGAGAGGCACTTTCATCGTCCTCCCCACAGCTGTGATAGATAAAATTGAAGAGAAGATTCAATCTTCTAGCATGACTACCTAATCTATAATAACTTGTAAGTAAACTTACCACAAGACTGATATCTCTACAGGACATTTTAATGGGAGTATTCGATTTCCTTTAGTGAAAGGTAGACAAATTGAATATAGATGCATGTATATCGTTGAGTCTTCCCATTTTTTATTAAAAAGTTCAGCACAGAAAGAGCTCAGTAACAGTTTGCATGATGTTAACAATATGCCCAGATTGTTTAGGTCTTTCGAATGAATTCCTGAAGCAGCCCTTCTGGTTAGCTCGTCTGCTTTAAAATCACTAAATATATCGTTATGACCGGGAACCCAAATTAGAGAAATATTGAGCTGTGGACAATAATTAATAGGGATTTTGTGGACAAAGATTTGTTACGAGCTCTCTAAGTAAATCTCTTAAATTTATGTTTCTTACAAAATTCTTTCACAAGTAATGACTTCTTTAAAAAAATGTTTGATGTGTTTTGAATATGCGTTTTCCTTTTAAATTATGCAATTTAATTTGATATATAAGATATTCGAAATGCAATACGTAATAATTACAACATAAAATTTTATTTTATTTACTAGTCGACTTAAGGGTTTTCAATGGCTGTCATGTTGAAGAAAATTAAAATTGCTTTAGAAAAAAGAATTC